TTGACCACGTCCTTGGTGAACCTCTCTTTCGACGGATAGGCCCATATGACGCCTGTGTACCTGTCACGAATGACGAAGATCTCTCGATCAGTACTGATCCCTTGATCAAGGCTGTTCCTCGTATCGACAAAATCAAAGGTAACCAGATCTCCAAAAGCTTTGAGCTTTCTCTTGAACGCTCCTCGATGCGTCTTGAAGTGTTTCATCTTTGCTCTGATGCATGACTCACAGTAGGGATTCTTGTAACGATGTGTGAGTAGATGCTCGATTTTCCTGGCATCTGCTTTCAGAGTTCCTCTTCTCACCATTCTACTTGCACCGTCAACAACATCCACCTCGATGTCATCTGCATCATCATCGTCAGCTTCTGGTTCACTGTCTCCGGCGACATTTGATCCTACCTCATCTTCTTCTCCAGGAGATGCCTTGAACTTCTTATTCCTCTTTCGTCTTTTGACTTTTGGAGGTTCAATCACAGGAAGGTCGTCATCATCACACATGATTCCTTGAGGATCCACATCACAGTTGATGAAAGTCGATTGGTAATCGGCTTCATCTTCTCCTAGGGTGAACCTTGCGATCATCTCCGCCCTTGTATCGTCGGTGGGAGTACAGAAGTCACTGCCCTTGACAATATATGGGATGTTTCCCTCTACTTCTAACATGATCTTCTTGTAGTTCGGGGAAACCATATACGGGTTGCCGCAGGCTGGCCATATGAATGTGTATCCTTCCTCCATGCATTTCTTTCCAACAGACAGTACTGAAGGAGACTCATCTAGGACGAATGGGGAGTAGGTAGAGTCAAATTCGTCGAAATGAATGTCGGCGACTCCTTTTGTGGATGTCACTCCATTTGCAGTATAGAATGACATTGATTGGTCGCTTTCTCTCACTTCCAGACCTAATTTCTTGGCTCTGCCTTTCGATATCAAATCATACCCACATCCTGTGTCCATGATGAACTTCGTTCTTGATCCTTTGGCTGGAATAGACAATGTCTTGGTGTCTGCATGATCTTTCTTTCCCTCGCATACATGAGGAATGACTTTATGATGGAAAACTAGGCCGTCATCTTCGTCAAAAGACATAGTGACCGATAGGTCACCCTTTGGTCCAACTGGTATTCGGACCCTCTTGATCTCAGTGTAGGGGACCATCAATATGCCTCTCGCCTCTGCGACCTTTTCTTCAAATCTGATTTGTTCTTTCCTCGTGTAGCAGGTGAGCTCTTTCTCATCGTATCGTTTGATGTCCGGACGTAGAGGTTTCTTTTCTACTACCTTCCATTTGTCCCTGACTGAGTAGATCGCTTCGTTCAACATGATCTCACAAGTTTCTTCATCAAAGGATACTTTTGCACCTCCTTCTCTTGCCTTGGCGGATGCAGCAATCCCTTCATCTTCGGATTCGTCCATGAAGAGTTCACCGTCAATGGCTGGGGCTCCAGGCTTCGCCTTAGGCTTCGGTTTGGGTTTTGCCTTGGGCTTTGGCCTATCGTCTCCTGAGTCAGCTGGTGCTGATATCCCTTTCTTAGGAGAGGCTTTTGGGTCATGGTAGAACTTGCAATCCTTCCCTTTGTCACAAGTTCCTCGAATCCACATCCAACATACTGGCTTGTCATTCTTTCCGACAGAAGATCCTCTGGATGGTGATCTGGGTTTCTTGTGACTGAATGGGCAATCTTTCCCCATAGTGCAGTTACCTTTCACGAAGAATTTGCACGGTATCTTCTTCTTGTCTGTACTCGGACTTCGGCTGCGATCCTTTCCATCACCTTTACCTTTCCCCTTTCCCTTTTTGTTCTTGTCTTCAGGATGCTTCTTGGGATTGGGTTTCGGCTTCACTGCAGCAGCGTCTTCTGAGACAACCTGTTCTTGTTGCCCTTTTGGTTTCTTCTTCGGATCAGCTGGTGCAGCTTTCAGTTTTGGAGCAGGTCCGCCTGGTTTGAGATTCTGAAAGATATTGGCCACATTCTTCACTGCCTTCTCCTTTTCCAGGATCATCCTGTCTTCAGTTTGCCGTTCGATGTGCCTTCTGATCATATCACGTAGATGTTTGTATGTCTTCTTGGCATCATCGTCGTTCATGCTGTTGTAGGCGCTGATGTCGTATGCCATGAGGTTTGAGTTCCTGATCTTTCTCCATAGGAGATCCCGAAGAGTTTCGTCGCTCGGGACGTCAACGGGCTTCATTCCTGCCAGAATCTCATCCCAAGTATGGAAGAACAACGATAAGTTCTTGTCTCCTTGGTATTCTAGTTGGTAGAGGTGCATTGAAGTATATAAGACTTCCACATTTGATGTTGTCTTGAAATTCATAAGGATCAGGGCTAGGACCTCTCTTCCCTTTATGAGGCTTGATGTTCTCCCTTTTGCATTGATCCTCGTCCTCAACTTCATAGCTACACCTGAACCATCATCTTTCGCATCCATGACGACCTTGGTAAGAGCTAGGCCGAGTTTGGCATCGATTGAATGGAATCTTTGGTCTCCTGAGTCGACAAACTTGTCCGGATCAGGATCGTCCATGGCTTCTTTGATCCAGTCGATCCAGGGCTCTTGATCTGAATCATTGGCCGCAATGATGATCGATTGAATGAGATTTGCCTTCCATAGTCCAAGATCATTGATCCTGGGCCATGACGGAACGTTTATCTTTGATTCTTCCTTCCTCGATACTTTCATGACTGTAGAGGTTGCCGGTGCAAGATGAGATGAAGAGGATGCCTCTGCTTCTGAAATCTTGTCCCTCAATGATTTGTTCGCCTCGGATAGCTCAATTGATTTCTCCCTTTCCTCGGCGTACTCATTGTGGGTTTCGGCATACCATTCATACATCTCATCTCGGCTCTCTGTCATTTCATTGTACCCGTCCTTGTAGTGCTTCGCCTCCTCTTTTGCGTTCCGAACCTCATCTTCCTCGGACGCGTGGGTTGGTAACCCGCGGTCTCTGGAACCAGGACGCTTGCTGTACCGAGAGACTATGGGTGCCATTCGTGCTTCTGCTTTTAATTTCGCATTTTCCATAATGACATTCTTTGTCTCCTTCTGGCTTTCCAATAGTGCATTCTCCAGTTCTCTGATCTTCTGTTGAATTTCAGCACCATCATCGCCGAACATAGGAGCTCTCATCATATTCTCTCTTCTCAGCTGTGCGTTGGCTTCGGATAGAGCGAGGTTGACGTCTTTCAATTGTTGTCGTTCACGGATGGAACTTTCTAGGACTTCGTTGTTGAATATTTCTCCTTTTGCGATAACCTCCTTTGCGACGTTTGCTTCGTATTCATGGTGGCTCGCCTTCATTTCTGCCATTTCTTTAGCAGAGACTTCAGTCTGGCATATAAACATCTCCATCCTCATGCCCACTTCCATCTCTCCTATCTCCGCTCTCGCGTTGAGTTCAGCTCCACGTGCCATAGCTAGTTGACCTCGTAGATGATCAATAACCATAGCTTCCTGATTGCTCTGATCTTGAGATGAGTGAACACTGTGTTGAAGACGTCTTTCCCTTACCTCACTGTTCCATTGTTCTTCTCTCTGGTGTTGGATCACCTCGTGCATGTTGACATTCTCATCCTGTAGCGCAATCATTCTAGCTTGTATCTGGTCAGCTATTCCGACGAAGGCTGTGTTCTCATCCTGAATGGCTTTTGATCTTCTATTGATCGCCAATGAAGATTCATTCTGTTCTTGGATGTGTCCAATTGCTGCTTGAAGCTCTTGGGACATTCTGTCCTTCGTTGCTTTCACAGATTCAAGCTCTGAATGTTCTTGATGAGTTTCTTGTGCAAGCTCTTGATATCTCATGTAGGTATGTTCAGCTGTCGATTCCGCCAAGCGTAGCTTGTGTTCGAGCTCTTCAATTCTTATTGTCGCTCCTTCGTCTTCCTGTGTCATCTCTTGTAGATGCTCCTGCATCTTCCTGTTGTAGTCAGACATTTGCCTGAACTCCACTTCAGCCTCGTGGTGTAGTCGTGAGTATCCGGCTTGGATGCATTCATATTCTTCATGAAGAAAATTGTATGCGTTTCTCGCTGATCTCAATTCTTCACCCAGCTGAATCTCTCTTCTTTGCTCTTTTGTTCCTCTATCATCGTCACGTCTCTTCTCTATACTCCTTCTTGGGGATCTCGCGGTAGACGTTATAGGCGATGTAGATCTTGTTGTAGCTCTCATCGATCTTCTTGGTCCTACGGGTGCAAGATCGGTCAGATTCCGAGCCGGTGGCACGGATCTTTCCGAGATTTGTGATCCAGTAGGCATAGTGATAACGTCAGCATTTGCTGATGAATCAGTACCCATTGTAGAGTCTGGTGACGAAATGGTGTTGGGACCACCAGGAGCGGCGAATGAATAGGGTTCGCTTCCATTTCCTCCTGAGCTTGACATTGCAGGTTTCTGTAATGACTAGTCTTGTTCTTGGTCTCGTGTAGCTCGTACGGCTATAAAGAGCTCGTACGGCTGATAACCTGCGAGTGGATCTTAATCAGCGAAGTTTGAAGCTATCACTGACGGTCCATAAGCGGCGTAGCGTCGGAACGGAAACCGCACCTTTTCTAGTCGCTTGATCCTTGAGCCAAAGTACATATGGTACATATATATGTACAAGTTGCACTGTACGTGTCGCTGCACTTCCATTCGCATATATAATATATATAATATACAATATATAATATATATATATATTAATTATATATATATTTATATGTTACAGGAGAAGAAGGAACAAAACACACCAATTACAGTATCTTTTAAACGTGTCAATTCATGTCAGTTCTATTCAATCCTTATGTTCCTTGTGCACATGGGGTCCATGTTGTCGATCCTATTTGACTCCAAGCCCAATGTGGCCTTGGTTGGGAAACCCTTATGTTTGCGTGGAAATGACATTCCTGATGTCCATGGACTGTATGGAGACGAAACATGTATGTACTCACCGCGCCGTAGGTTCTGGGCGGAGACGGCGGAGCATGCCAAAAAAAACTCTGAGCGTGTCACCTAGCGCAGGCATTGCCTGGCGGCATAGACTTGGCTTGCAAAGTTCAAGCTACACAACTAACATCAACTGACAGAACTACTGCACCCGTCCGCCGTACATTGATATCTGTTGGGATCTTTTAGGTATTTACAAGGTATGGGGCAGGTCAGTCACGAGCTTCTTTTGCTGGTGGCAATACAAAACCCACTTCGCTCGCGCACGCCTAGACGTATCTGCGCAGTGGCTGCAAGGCTTGCCTGTGGCAAATGGGACATTGAGTCACCGCTAACAGCACCAATCTCTATCATGGCTGAGTACAAAAAAACATGTCTCACTCTGAACAACATGCATGCATGACCTTGCATCCTCGCCTTTTGATCAACCTGCAGGGGCTTTTCCCCTCAAAAAGATGGCAGCATCCTGTGCATCCAATGCTGCTTCGCAGTGTTCAACAACATTGGAACACGATCTTGCCTAGGCCTAGCCCTTCTCCGACTGGTGTCGGAGCCGACCAGAGACGGGGTTAAAATCAAGGTCGCGGTCACAGGCACACAACATCACGGTCCCCAGACACGACTCGTCTATTTGAAAGAACATACTCACCATCATTGCTGCAACACCAAGAACCACAACCAGAATACTGCCACAGCCAAGATCAGCTCGTGCAACCCTGCGCACTTGATTCGGTCGCATTGGTATGATTGAATTGCAACGATATTGCCTAATTATCATAATGTGCATAATGATCATAGTAATGGACCATGATTGTAATTGTATCAAATCATCCCTGTCACTTGGCAATAGAACTCCTTTGCCTCTTTTTGCGGGGGCATCAAATCATCTCAGCGGGTCGGGTCTGGCAACTCAGGGAGTCACTTGTGCATCCCTCCGCGGAAAACAGGGCCTTTAGAAAACTTCCTGCCACTGTGTTGACATGTCGTTACGAATTGTTGATTGTCGTTACGAATTGCGAATGTAAGTGACAAAACAGTGTAGTGAAGTTTTCAAGTTCTTTCTCCATCAATCCCGGTCAGGGGCCGGTTTGCGGAACGCTCCACAAACTATCAAGGGTCTGTTCCCAGAAGTAGCGCCAACCATCTCTGTGTGTGTTGAGCATCAAGGCTACCACCATTAAGCATGAGTTGGCATTTCTCTGAAGTAAATTGTACTGTAGGTTTACACACTTGAGTACTTGAGCATTTTTGAGCTCTGATGGGTTGGCACCACTCTCTGTGCAAGTTCCCTTCGGGATTGGCCCGCCCTTGATGTAATTATCCAGGAGTGTGGTTGATAATCCAGTGAGGATCACACAAAACGACCAACACATCCATCCTTTTCCTGCCACCTGACCCACCGGTGGTTTCAGAGCATTCCTCCACTCGACCGGTCGTTCAAGCGCAGACCTCTTCGACCATTTCAAGAAGTTCCTGGAGGCGAGAGGCGTAGAGCTCTAAATTGATGGGGTATTTGCAGCAATAGCGCTGATGCAGAATTCCCAGTCCAGCATCCTTTGAAAGACACATCTGCCGCAATCGCCTTTGTTCTGTGTCGCACCATCCGCCAAAAACGTCCGGACCGTGACAAAATGCATGTAAGTGCAGCATAAACAAGGTTTCAAGTTTCAAGCATTTCAACATGCAAAGGGACAGGTGTGTCCGTGCACATGCATCATTTCTTGGAAAGTTGTGGGAATGGTAGGAACGGACATCAACTGGATCTTGTCTGAGTCTGACCGCTCTTGCTTGCCAAGTTGAACCACCAAACACTTCACCGCACAGAGTAGTTATGTCTATATAGCCCAAATGGCTCAGGTTCTCAGCGGGACAACCACATTGCAAACATGCCATGCAAAAAAGTATCCGGAAAAAGAGCCACGTCACTTCATCTCATCTGCTTGGAGATAGTTCTGTTCTTCCAAGTAATCCAGCTGCTCCAACACGGAGACCCACATGTCAAGTCCTGTTTCTGTTCCTTCAGGGTTGTAGACATGCATAGACGTCACACAGTGGGCGGAGGATTTCTGGACCCGGCCTGGCCCGCCTTGGCCTTTTTGGACAGGAACACCGCTAGATTGGCCAGGCAAGAAGCGATCAACGGCTGCGACATTGACATCATCACTTGACATAAACCTCAGCTCTTGCGATCAACGGTGAGCGAACGCCGTTCTGAAGAGCGCCACATGTGCAAGGACTCGGAAGCAAACTGAAAAGACAACTCTGCGCTGACTCTGCGAGTAAACACTCTGTTCCCAGTTTCCAAATTTGCTACATCCTAAGGAGTTATAAATGTGTTTCTTCTTTTGATCGCTAAGAAACAGCTCCACGGATCTGGCCACCAAGAAAGGGATGAAAATGATGCCACTGGTGGTGGCGATCACCGAGGCAATCTTAGCTTGCGGATTCCCTGGATACCTCGGTAGCTTGTTGCCTTAAAAAATAATGAAAAAGGGGTCTCACAAAATGTCCTCTCTTTTTCGGCGAGCAGGCCGCGCAGGCCGCAAAGGAGGGAGGTTAGAAGGTACTGTCTTAGCTAGCAAGAAGCTGCTAGGGCCTAGGGATTGGGGGCAGGGCTCTTTCTTCTTTTGCTTTTCTTTTGTTCTTGTTGTTTGTCCTTTTTCTTTTGCCCGAGTTGCCCTCACTCTTACTTAATTAAGCGGGGGCCTACTTAATTAAGTAGGGGTGACGGCAACTAACCACTACTACCTACTGGACGGTGATGCAGGATAGCTCACGCACTGTATGTATATATGTTGCACTAGTCAGTTGGTTCCTAGATTGATTCGGCTCCTAGACCTACGACCTGACTGTCTTCTTAGCCAGCTCTGTTAACCCGACAGTCTTCTTGCACTTTTGGTGCCAAGGCGGATCACGTCCAGCGAAAATATTCACCATGTAAATCAAGGCATCTTCAAAGCTGCGCTCCTTAGCTTAGAGGTTTGATGGGCTGTACTTTGCACAACCCATCAAATCAAGCAAGTGCGCAACGCAAGTTCGTGAACTTCCACCTGCTTCTCCTAAGGCACTGATCAACTGGTGTCCATATCATCTGCGAACAAGAGTCTGGATCTTCCACACCGTTGTAGTGGTTCTCAAACGAGTAGAGTACAGTTGCAGACACAACAGTGGTTCCAAGCAATGACAAAAGTACTGCGATGATCTGCTGTGTGACTGGCACACTCCTGAATGACGCGCGGCAAAGGGGCTTTCGCTACAATATAATATAACACTTGCTTGTCAAAAGGTTCTTTTCTTCTTGTGCTGGCTTCAACTGGCGGATCCTTTAGCCCCGTGCATCAACTAATGTGACAGTAACACAGTGAAACAATGTACTGAAGTTGAAAATGCCCAGTATCCCATGCCACCGTCCGGGTCCATTGTCAGCCGGGAGGGCAATGCGGAGAAGGCCTCAGACTCGCAGCAAAGCACAAAATCCCACACCTGGATAATCTAATCAAACTGTCTGCTTGTTTGAAGTAGTTTCCTGCTGCTTGTTGTTTCGTCCCTTGACGTTTCACCGCTTGACAAACCATTCTAGGCCTTTGTTCTAAGTGAAGACAGCTTTTTGAAGCCACTTCTGGATAGAATGACTTCTGATATATAATATAGAGAGAGAGGTTGCGCTCATATATAGTACAGTAGATGATATAAAGTAATTAAGTATACTTACATGGGCGTAGTGCTTACTATGTAGTTACAAGGATTACTAAGTAGTTAGCAGACTTAATGTTGTACTTGTGCTACTTATCTATCTTCGGTTGCTGGACTTAGTATGTATTCTTACTGTCCTACTTATTAAGTATTACAGTTGTAGTTACTATAATCTTACACACGCTGCAGGGCTATATGCTCGCAGCGGGATTGACGGTTTCATTGCGTCTTTCACGTGCAATGTAATGCTTTCATGCAATGCAATGTCATGTCATACCATGCAGTGTCATGTCATGCAACGCAGTGTCATGTCATGCCATGCCAAATCATTATATACAGTGTTTGTGCAGAGCTACCTTGAAGTGTCTTGCAGTCTTGGGAGATTCTTGCGCAGCGGAGTGACATGTACCCATGAGTTTCTTCGGAATGAGTTGTGTTTCATGTTCATTTTGTTCACTCGTCGCTTGTGTTGCATGATCATGCATGTGCACATTTCATGTCAACTTCATGCTGCTATATAGCTGGCTCTGAGTGATCACGCGTTTCCTCACCGAGATCTCATCCTGACAGATGGAGAAGATGGAGGGCGTGCGCAGCTTGCCAGAGGGAGTGACATCCACCATCAACGTGCTGATTGACAGGGCTCTTTCTGGAACTTCCATGGTCAAGTCAGCAGAAGGCATCTTGACCTTGTTGAGGAAGGAGCAAGTGTTGCTCCAGCTTCGCCTGACGCCAAAGATGGTTGGGGTGCATCCGCGCAATCGAGATGGAGTTGGGGTAGCGGTGCGCGAGGCACATTCCTTGCTGGCAGACATTCTCGACACAGGGTTTGTCCCGAGCTTGGTCAGTGCTTTGGCCTTTGAGGTGACAGGCCCCGAAGAGTTGGAGTTCAACCGAAAAGCTGATCGAGTCTGCGGGTGGCCAGCTAGGAGTTGCCGATGTGGCACAGATGAGGTATTTGTCTGTGTGCGGCTCACACACCAACTTCGTCCTCCGGCTCTTTGTGGACTCAGTTGAACACAGCCAGAACCAGCAGGTCACTGTCAACGGCAGGCTGAGCCAAGACGCTCTTCGTCTTGCCGACACGGCTTTCTTCCAGGCTGTGCAGGAGGGGGTGGTCTGGGAGATCATTCCCTCGTGGATCGCATTGCAGTTTCCACGATTACCAGAGATCTTGCAACAGGTTGGAAATACTTCCCTCAACCGCGGGGAGAGCGAGATGCAAATGTTGCAGCGGCTGCACTCCATGTGCGTTGAGCGCACATCAAAAGGGGAAAGGGTGAATCTCGAAGATGTGAAGCGGCGGGCGTTGGCAAGCAAGCCAGCTTTTGCTGAAAGCTTGTCAGACATGTGGACCTTTGTCATGAGGTACTCAGGAGGCGCCAAGGCAAACATGATGCAAGAAACCCAGCAGTTCGTGATGACAAACGCCAAGTCAACTCAGCTGGGTGCTCCTTTGTGGAAGGCACTGGTTGAGGAGTCCAAGATTGCCACCAACTCCCTTGTGAGATGGCGACACGCCATTTTGAAGCAGGGCTACTTCCACGGGGTGAAAGCATTGGATGTGAAGAGGTCATTCAGCAAGGACATGGTGCGGAGGGTGGCAGAAG